ACGATCACAGGAGGCCAATACCAATGGCAGTTTTGCGATGTTCCCTTTTGTCCAACAAGCGATGGTTAAGTTTGCGACGTTCGAGTCGATGGAAAATGCGTCAGTGAGTTATGCAGAGCATATATTTATTGTTGATGTTCCCTATTCGTCATGGATTCCTTCATGAACTTCATTAATGTTTTGCCCTTCGGATGTCAAAATGAATATTGTGATGAATCTTACCGTTATTGTTCACAGGCCCGTTGGAGTGCATAAGAGGGAAGAATCTGAAAGAATACATAGGAACGGCAAACGTCACCATCAGCGGAACCCCATGTCAGCCGTGGCTCAAATTCTTGTCAGATGATAGTCTGGATTCTCTCTATCCCATGTACATCCTCCTGAGGTTCCGAGATGACATCCATCCTTCACACAATTTCTGTCGATTTGATACTTCGGGAAAAATCAGGAATCTTTTTTGTTGGGTTGGAAAGATCTTAGAGGTGTGTAATGTCGCTGATTGCGAGAGCAAACCTTAGCGTAGAGTACAAGAATTGGTAGCATACATCGTGTCCAAATACATCATATACCCCCATCTTCATATCCCTCTTGCATTCTCGTAGACGCTTTCGATTGGGAAAGGGATCCTGTTCGATGGGGACAGACTTTTTCTGGAGTGATGAGGCTCTCGACCTAGGTCGACTCAGGTCAGGAAACGGTTGAGAATGTCAACAGAGCTGCTTCAGACTGGCGTAGCATTTTGCAACTTTATCTATTAAGTACCTAGGGCCCTCATGAACAGCAATTTTTTTTTCCAAGCAAATATCAACTAGTGTTCAATGCTTTTATTCTTCTGTGCTATTCTCACCTTTGAACAAACTGTTTTCCCTTCGGTATTGAATCAAATTTAAGGAGATCTCTTTATACGGCCTGGGTTGACAATGCGGATTCAGATATCAGACCGTAAGAGGTTGTATGTGCGACATTGTTTCTTCAGAAGTTCATTCCGTCAATGAAAAACCTACGAATTTCATTATTGGAATTTTAAAAATCCCATTATTTATAATTGAGAATATCCCCTTGCAAATGTTTGATTATCGTTTAGTCTTGAAAACCCATGATTGTATTGACGCGAGTTTTGTATGGTCGAGGAATTTATGTTGCCCCACCCCAAGTGCATCTAGTCTTTCCTTTAGGATAGAATTGGAATTGTACATTCTATGAATTCTCAATATCTTTCATAACCATATGTAGCACTGACTTTTTTTAATAAGCTATCCAGTTCGGACTTTCCGCTAATTGGTAGCTATTTGGGGTTAAATGATTCAATGCTTTTCCAGGCCCTATCACATCCCCCATATCAAGTATGTTAGATGACATATTAAATTATTCACGATAATTATTCGATTTCATTTTCTCGCACTCGTACGCACCCCGGCAAGGTATGAAAGTAAATGTCTCTCATCCAGCAGGGATCCTATGAAAATCTTATGAGTGTATGAAAGCAAGCACATCATTGTTCAAATTTCCAATTAAAAACCAAAAATGGAATTCATTCCACTTCAATTTTTTCTCCATCTTCCGGTTCCAACAAGGTAGTATATTTGCTCTCAAAGCGTTATTTGCTCACCTTGATTACCGCACTGATTTCTGGAAATGGAATTGTTCGTTTATCATCTTGTAGTGTCAGTCTATTCCTCTTCAAATATATTTCTGCACCACCCAAGTGCATTTTTTCTCCCAGCCTTTGAATGTGCTTTGAGGCGAGGCTTCCGGCGCATTGGGAGGAAGAGTTTTGAAATAATGTTTAACGGACATGTTGCATAGGATATTATTCACATATAATGGGGAAAAAAATATTCTCGAATAGAAGCCCAAAACGCTGCCTTCGAATTTGATATTACGATGAATTGTTAGACCAAAAACGTCAAAATGTGAACGCCGAGATGAGGGGAAATGATCTTCTTGATGCAAACCCGTCTTGAGAGATGAAGCAAGAACGGCAGAAATAAATCAACTATCAAGGTTAACCAGGAAAATAGCATAGAATAGACTAGCCAAACAATATATTAATAAATCCTCAGGTTTTCAAGGTCAGACGCATTTCTGCCTCCCCACGCAGCAATTACCGGATGTAGGGAACGTTTCCCTCGCGTTGGAGAAGTGAAACTCGCAAATGGCAGCTGCACCTGGGCGATTCCATCGCGACAAACGTAACAATCGGATGCAGAGTACTCATGCACTGGTGGACAAAATTAAGGTAACACCGTTATTTCGTCAATATTTTAATTACAATAGTAAGTTAGAAGGTGAAAATATGTTAAAATACGTACTTTTACATGCAAATTCCGAATATCCAATGAAAATTGATCTACGCGCATTGCAATATGCAAATTAGTGAACCCGGCGGCGGCTATTGACTCCTAAGGATGCCTGTTAAACCCGTACTTTTTGTCTCATGATGTATCATAACTCTGTTATTACCTGTGCAAAGTTTCTCTTTTTTAATACACCTATTGGTAATGATACATTGTATCTCAATGGAAATTTTCATTTATATACCTCACATAATAAACATGCTATTCTGATTTTTGCGATTGTTACCATAATTTCGTCCGCCAGAGTATGTGAACGCAATTTTCTCTGCCTGTTTTCATTCCTTCATATAAATGTTTGCTTCATGGTGATTGCATATTGGACTTGCTATTCAGCGCTTTACCACACATAAACAATACACGTTTCTGTCGGCGGAGTAGCATGAAGCATGTGTGCCTCGCATAACCATAAAAGGCCAAGTCCATTCCCACATTTTTCATGCAAGCCGATTTTCCATGCACCTCTTTCAAGTGACATTCTACTAATGTGCAATAAAGATCATATGTGCAAGGTGTGCAAGAACATAACTGTGAATAACATAATCAAGATCTGAAAATACCAATCCATGAACATGCCATCAGGAGAAATTGTTCGAGTTCCCTCTCAGATCTATTACGATGTACTTACCAGGAATGTCTTTTATACTGCATTATTTTGCTTCTCGCTAATTTTTCTCGTGCAGTTGTTAGATAGTTCCCTTTGCCATGGAAAAAAAAAACTCTATTCCTTCGCTTTTGAAACGCAATGCCTTCTTGCCTTAATCAGTTGCAATTTAATCTATATTAGCGTGCAAAATAAACTTTAATAGGTAAGTTAGGGTTCGCACACCTAAAAGGATTTGTGATGATATCGTATCTGCGTTTTGCTGAATATACCTCATATCATCGCGTGAACATTATTGCCGTTTACTTTCGAATGCTGTGCACGTGTCTGGCAAGGAAAATGTCAGTTAAGGTTTATCTATGCCATGTAAAGTTGAGTTTTTCAGTAGGGACTGTGTTATTAAAATGCTACAAGAGGGTGTAACGGAGCAGAAAATTACGCCCTCTTTGACCCTCTTGGAACGAAAAATGTTAGATCACTTGACCTTGAGGGATGTAGTGATTCTTAAAGTCATGCGTTTCGCCAGTTATGATGAAGCGATGATGAAATCCGGTTAAGGCCATACGAGCACATCTGAATCGTCGCGGGAATTCCTGCTGCTTTACACTCTTAACTTGGAAGAATCATTTGAATTGCCCGTTGCTCTAAAACTCGGTTTTTTCGTAAGTCTTGGTGCATCTCTTATGTTTTGTGAGAGACGCCATGACATGAACAGTGAAATCTGACGTGGCATGAGCACAGCGCTCAAAGGTTGGCGAGTACTCCCAAATAATTTTCAGGCAGTAAATTACTTGTTTAGCAAAGGACTGATGCAATGCCATCACAACTCCTACCCTGCGGTCGAGCCTTCCATATGCATAACGTTAAATTTGGACGCTAATAAAGATTCCTCTTTTCCTGGCTCCTCGGCGCTCTACTTTCCCTTTCCCTCCAGCTGCTTTCTTCGCCATAATTTTTCATTGACAAACCTGGAGAGATTGGACATACGTTGTCACGATATCTTTAGCTGATGATGGGCATGCATAGAACCAGGGAGGTTTATTGACTGGTTATGTTAACCACGAAATAAGATTCAGTGTTAGTCACGCCCTTTAAGAGGCTTTACAGCATCCCATGAAGAAGACGCAATATCCATGAGAAGGAGTTGGAAATTGGGTAAGACAAAATGCTCCGTGCATGGAGCGCGTTCTTCTCCAAAGATCATTTCAGTTTAAGTATTTATGTTTGAAGTTTCCTGCCACTACTCCATCTATCTTCAAGACCGCCTGAAGCGCTGAACGACCGCTCGTTTTTCAACGTGGGTCGTTCCACAGAAGGAATACTCTCGTGGTATATCTCTTTAGATGAGATTTTGCGTGAGCATTTTTCGGGATCTGGGTGAAGTTGATTCTGTTGATCTGTAGTCGTAAATGGCAGGTGAACATGCTGGAAACCGGAGAAAACGAAGCGCTCTATCGTCTTGCAAGTTCCTAGCTGGTGCGGTAATAGAGGCAACGCATTAAGAGCCTTGAAGTTTCAACATCCACCATGTTGAATCGATGCTGAAGAACATCGATTGCCACATTGCATCGATATTGGCTTGATGTTGAGATAAGGCAGGTTTCAACAATGTCTCAACATGAATTGCGCGTGCGCCATTGAAATGACGAATGCGCTTGAATGAGTGTGCCATTCGACCGCTGCAGTATTCCAGATTAAATCAGCGTGATCTCAACCCCATCAGTTTCGAGATTAACGATTCCCTCTTCCATCCCGACATAGATTCTATGCCGAGATGGATATAGGCATCTTAGTCTCGCGGATGCAAAAACGATCTATTAATTTTTATTAATTATTTTTATTTTTCTGAGATCAGCCATTCGCGGTCAGCTGAACATGGCCCCCCCCCCCCATAAAAACTGTTTGACTGCCAGAAATCCTTGTTCTTTACAGGTTCCATTAAAAGGCGGAAACGAGGGGATGAAGCACGCTTCGGCCTTACGCATACCGAAGGTTCGAGGCGAGTTTGGGAGTAAAAAAAAAAATTCAAATGAAAAACTCAACGGTTTTGTATACTTTATTCATATATATCTCACATGAATATCTGAAACGCGTCACTCCAGAGACGACGAGATGTGTTGCAAGTGCGCAAAAAAATGCCTGCAAGTGGATGCTTGCCAAAGTCACCTGTTCAATCTGATTCGATGCAGATCTCGTGGTAGTTTCAGCAATCACAGACAAAAAAAGCGATACACAGATATGTGCAGCGAATTTGTTTAACATTGACAAAAATTCACAATAACGAAAAGGTTGGATCAATAATTGAACAGGTATGGGTAAATTTCACTGGTAAATGAGCATTCTGTCACCAGGTTGTAAAATATCCTCGAAAGGGGTTCGGATAGCTTCAATCAGGACTCCGGAAAATTAGTAGCAACAAAAAAGCGCTGGGCAATTTGGCGAAATGGGAGAGAAATAAAAAAAGCCATGAGAGCAACCGGTAAAGTTTCCTGCTTGACCGATGAACCATATTCACTTAATAATAACACCTTTGTAAGTCTAATGCCATTTCATACCGCTGCATACTTTCCAGGCAGCATTTGAACATTGGATAAAATCCTAAAAACATGGTAACAAGTGGCGCTGTGCGTTAGTTCGAGCGTGCAGGTTTTCAACCCTCTGGCTTCGTGGCGGGAGAGGAGCCTGCGCCTCTTTTTTCCCCTTCTGAGTTTCTCTCACCTCTGCGAAAGCCTCCTTGCAGTTGGCACACAGAAGTCACACATCACAAGCGATCATAAATCATATGAGGAAGATGGGGGAAGAGGGTAAATAAGTGATCTGCTATCATCTGCTGACAACACGGGAATGCAAGTGGATACATCGAGGAGTCGATTATCACGGAGGTGAGGATTATCACAGGTGGGACGGCTCCGCCCTTGCCGCCGATCCCTCGCCCCCCGGTCCATGACCCTCCCCGATATTCTCCTGTTTTGTCGAAAATGTGACATATGCTTAAAATAATCACAGAAAAACGTTCATAGTAATCCCAAAGCATACCATGTTTTGTAAAATAATTGAAAACGAGAAGAAGAAAAAAAAAAAATTTGAAAATTAAAATTAAGAAAAAGGAAACAGAATGTCTTTATTTCAAATCTTAGGTTCCGCATAAAACATAATACATACCAGTTTTTTTTTTATCCCCATCAAGTAAAAACAAGATGACGTTGCAGACCATGAGAAGTATATTGCACACATTGAATCCTGATACTTCATCTCATCACAAAGAGACAATAGAATCTCTGTCAATTCCTGATCAGCATATTGAGACTTATGTCTGCGTTGCATCTCTGTCGAGATAACTTGGCATGATATTTAATGTTTATTTTTAAATCTTCCTCTGTGATCATACCACTGTATTCCCTTCTTTGTAGATAAAATAAGTAGGAGAAAAATGAGTCTGTGAAGTTCACCATTTTTTTTAATTCGCAGATGAGCTACTTATGGAATTTTTGATTCCCCACCACTAAGATATTTTTTATTTCATCCCAAAGATACTAAGATTTTTATTGGGACATAGGAGTAAGTTTCACTATTTTGAAAAAAGTTGGGGATGTGCACTAAATGTACACGCTAATTCATATACATACATTGTGGATTTGGACTCCACATTTGAATCAGCTGCCAAATTTTCCATTGATATTATAACAATATTCAATATTTACTTTAACTCAATCCAAATATGAAGCAACAAATAATACCCTTGTCCATACAGAGCTGGTGTGGCAAATCCACTGATGCCTCACTTACTGGAACAAATCACATAGTTCTAGCTAGAGGATTTCCTTTTTTTTCTAAAATAAATAGTTTTTCAGTAGTTTGTTCTATTATATCAACTCTAATAAAAATGTTAGGGATATTGGTGTTCCTCTACAATAGGAAGGAACTTCTTCTTAAAACCCGTATCCTGAAAAGTAAATAACAGGGACCTGTATTTAAGACCGGATTGCCAATGCTAATAAAGACACACATGTTTCTCAAACAATGTTTGGTGTTTACCTTACTCCAATCATAGAGATTTTATTATATCCATCACTTTTTTCCGAGTTTTACATCCAAAAATGCAGAACTCATCTGTTTGCATAAAGTCAGCACCTCCCTGAAAAAAATCTTATTGCTGTTGCCAGCAGTAGTGCAGCAATGAAAATCACCAAAAGGAAAACACTTTCAGTATTATCCACATCAGCTTAATTTACATCCCTCCCCCCCCCCTCCCCTTCATGCACCCATTTGTTTGGTTAAGACACACCCAGTTAAGCCCTGGTTATTTCAGCATTGCAAGTCCTTTGTCCTACCACCAAGACTTGGTTACTACCTGTGATCCCATGAAAGGAGTGCTCAGAAGAGACATGTAGATTGGAATATGCTTCAACTGAAGTGGCTCATAAGTTTTGGTTGTAGCAAGAGATATAATAAGTTGCCAATAGAACAAAAAGAACGAATAAATATGCTGATAAATACTTTCACAACTCCTAATGTATAGGGGCCATTGGGATGGAACATGATGCATTGAGGGACATGGGGATATATTGTAGGTTAACCCTTTTGCTGCTGCCAAAGGGTTGCAGCATATACTCTGCCTTTTGCTGTGGGGTTATGGCAAAAGAGGATGTGTGTTGTTTGAATTTTACTTTTGCCGACTGCAAATTCTAAAGCAAATCAAGTTCTATATATACAGTGTGAACAGAAAGTCCCTGAGGGGTTCTGTGCCTATACATCATGGAAACAACTTGGGAATGGGGTGGCACTGAAATATGTAATATGTATCATGTGAAAGGTTCTCTCTTAATTTTTTACATGGCACACCAAATCATGAATCTCACACTTTCACATGTCCACCATCTTAGTCAAAACATGCATGCAACCATCTTGTGACCTCATTCAGAACTGCCCCCCATTGGGCAGGTATGATGTTCCTACTGTCATTTCAATGCATGTGCACAATTCAGTCACGCTTTGTGTGCGTGTGACACATACTAGTATAAGTTGTTAACATGCCCTCACATATGGAAGTCTCTAGGGGTCAGATCTGGGGACCTGGGAGGGCATAGGATGAACCCTCTTTATTTTATGCATCAGATTGGAAAATTTTCATCCGAAAAAGAAGCACACTGAACCCCAGACCTGACTCATGTGAAATTTAAATGATTCATTTAATTGAAAAAATATAACAGTTTAAGAGATAACTTTTTATATGATGCATATTGCATACATCTATGCCACCTTCCTAAGAAATACAGGCATGTAACCCCTCAGGGACTTTCTGTCCACCCTGTATATTACTTACATTACTTGAGTGACAATTTGGTGTGTGAAATCCCAAAGCAGGGTGCACACAGTAGGTGCTTTAGCATGGTCAGTTAACTGCCCGTGATAGCAGCAAAGAGGTTATCCAATTTTGGATTTTCTGCATTCAGTTGAGCATGAAGGTACTACCATGCCTTATAATCATGCAAGAATATACAAAGAGGAGATTGAAGGAAATATATGAAAGCATTCCCACACATGCAACAGAAGCAGGTAGGGTCAATAGATGACCTGGCGTGCCGAAGGACAGTCCAGGTCCACGAGCAAGCTAGGATCCACTATTGCTACCTCTGGATTCTCCTCCTCAGGCTATTCATGCAGAGAGATAGAGAAAATGAAAAATATCATAAAGACATTAATGGAAAATCATATATGCAAGGTCCTTCAAGATGCTTTCATCATCTGATGATTCATCACTGTTTTCAGGGACACATTTACAAAACAATAATTTTCTAGCACTATTCAACACACACAGATACAAAACTACATCACTAATGCACAAATGCATCTACTCACATACATACATGTGTGGCCAAACACATCTAAGATGGCTTAACAAATTTTAAAGTGATGCAAGATTGATATGAGCTAGATTTGATATCATTACAGTTATCATCATCAAATATATATTTAAAATTTTCAGTCATGATTGGGCAGGAGAGCTCGGACAATATAAATCATAAAACCTAGCATTAGAAGACATACCATGAAAGGAGGCAAAAGAGCCACCACAGCCAAATGGGAAATCAGATCCTGGAGTTTGGGATCTCTCTGATTTTCTCACTTAATGCACCAATACTGGGCAATTTTCTTTATTAGTATTAATACTATATTGAAGAGTGCACTGCGACTTACACTTACATTCCTGTCATCAATTGGAATCTATTGCATGTCAATTTTATAGCAGTATATGGCAATGAAATTTTCTAAAATAAAAAAGCAATCTGTTGGTTTTGATTTACTATGAGATGTAGTATGAGATGTGTATGAGATGTAGGGAAGATGATGAAGAGAGAGAAAATGTAATATTACATTTACTGCCATCCTACCCAGAATGGGACAAGATGGGAATAGGGAAACATTATCCCTCACGCCTGAAAGGCCACAGCACCAGACTCCCTTTGGTTCTTTCTTATCCACTGCCCTGATATCTCCACAAACATTTTACCTCCCTTCACTTATTCCATACCTTCTACTTTTGCACTCTTGCTTCAATGGTCAGGGAATCAGCCATGGGAAATTTCAAAATGTAATACTGGTAATTGTACTATTATTGGGTTAGAAAGAAAGTCTTGCAACACTGCGCAAATTTGTCAAAACTTTGAAACTTTATTAAAATCCAATTTCAGTATAAAATGTAATGACCATTGTTATCTATGACATGTTCCCAACGCACAGGTAACTGCTCGATGCCCTTTGCCCAGAACTCTGGCGATTGCAAAGTGAAGAAATGGCCGGCATCATTCTCGAGCCGTGCTTGATCATCGAAGGCCTCGTCCCGCATGTGATTCTTGAGGGCCCGGAACAAGTGATAGTCAGAAGGGGCCAAGTCCAGAGAATACGGTGGATGGGGTAAAACTTCCCAGCCCGGTTCCGAAATTGTCTGGCGAGTCATCTTCGCAACATTTAGACGAGCGTTGTCATGCAGAAGGAGAACTTTGTTGCGTTTGGGATGCTCTTTTTGAATGACGCCAGCCAACTTCTGAAGTTGAGCAGCGTAGACGATGGCAGTCACGGTGGTACTGGTTGGCAGGAGCTCATAGTACAACATTCCTTCTGAACCCCACCAACAGCAGAAAAGAACCTTCTTCTCATGGAACCCTGGTTTCGGTTCGTGTGGTGGCAATTCTCCTTGTGGAAGCCACTGACTTGCGAGTATGGTCGACATAGAGGACCCAGATCTGATCTCCAGTAACGATTTCCTTCAGAAGGTCCTTTCTGTGAGGACGAAGGAGCAGTGATTCACAGACAACGTCACGGCTTGCTTTGTCAGAGTCACTGAGCCGATGAGGGACCCACGTCAAGTAAACCTTCAGATAGCCGAGGTCGTTCAGATGGTTGCTGATGGCCATATGGGTGACTCCAAGTGTAGTCGCCAATTCGCGAATGGTGGCGGTCGGCTTCGCGTTGAGGGCGTTCCACAGGGGTTCGTCATCGACTGTAGATGGATGTCCTGAGCGCGGTCCATCTCCGAAGGTCGTGTCACCAGATTCCAAGCGTTTCAGTTTCAGCCATTGAGACACCGTGGAATAGTGGACGACGTTGCCCTTGAATGTAGCGCAGATGTTGTCTGCGGCGGCTCTCGCAGAGTGTCCTTGGAGGAACTCATAGTAGACGATGGGGCGAAGAGTTGCTCGTTTGATCGGAGCCATGGCTGCCAACTAATGGCAGAAGCCGCCTTATATACCCCAAGGGCAAAAGCTTAGAGAACATTCCATCATATACAAATGCAAAGCCCCGCCCATTATTACTTTTAAAATTTTGATAAATAGTTTTAGAAAGTGTTGCAAGACTTTCTTTCCAACCCAATACTAGGTAAGTCTACAAGATGCAAATGGCAAATCACAACTCTCTTTCAGAATTCTCTTGTGTGCAGGTAACAGTAAGATTTAGCTGTTCTGATGTCAGGTGATAATTTGTCTTTGACCGAGAACTGCTTTCTATGAAGCATTCACTGCAACAGTCATGACTGAAATATTTACCAGTAACAGGAAACAAGTGTATCCAGTAACCTGTAACTGGTCCCATTTCCTATTTAATAACATAAAATCCAAAGGGATATGATGCTACATCAGATCACTTTTCCAGACAAACATGGATGTCCAGGGCTTCTGTGAATCCACTGCAAAGGATATGCCAACATTTTACAACAGTCTCATTTTGAGAAGACACAATCATGAGTACTTTTGTTTCTTGTGGCATGATTCTTGTTTCATATTATCACACTTGAAAATACTCACCCTAATGCTTCTTCATCAATTCCTGTGAAAATTATGATTAAAATTGCAATATACAGGACGTCCTACTTATCGTGGACTATTGGGCTTAAGGGGTCAGGTCAAAACTCAGCACTTCAAGGCTTAATGCATATATATTCACAGCAATGGTCCTTGAAGCTGATGTTAAATTCCTGAGTTCACTCAAACAGCAGAATAGTACCTGGATTATATGAGTTGAATATTTTGCTAATAACAAACTTAAAGAGATACTTCTGGAATACTTAACTTGCAAAAATTTCACCTCAGGGACACCTGACACATTTTCCACATTTGACATGGGGCAAAATATGATGATAATCTGGCCCACAATGATATTTTATTCGCTTTGGATAGCTGGCATACTAGCAATATCACTTAATTTCACAATATCTTATAAAAACCCAACAATTTTTTTCTTTTATTGCTTCAACCAGACGTGGACCAATTCACTTTTAGTGTTTCCCACGAGTGTCATGTCTGAAAGATATCTCACTTGGGATTGCCTATAATTGGGAAAGTGTCATAGACTAGATCCTAAACCCAAAGCAGAGGCTAATGCTTAGCTAAGGAAGAACTTGAAAAATAATATTAGAAATTCATAATGGATAATACAATTGATTAGCAGAGATTCCTCACTATTGTAGCCCATATCGTAACCATATTAAGCTCATTGGCTCAGAAAGCAGGATGTTAGTGCAGACACCAATGCAATTGAGTTCCATCGAGCTGATGCAATCGACAGCTTTAGAATAATTATACCAATACCAGATGAAGATCTCCAAACCTGCGAGATGGAGTTGATGGTACTTTTTCGTGATATAAGGGACACACCACCCATCTCAACATCATCAGGATCATTGGCTGCTTCACATCCCTCCTGGAATATAAAATTACAGACTGTTAACATACCTTTTATTTTTCTGTTTGATGACAACAGCCTATGATTTATTGCATAAAAAAAAAACACTTTTGCCCATTGTTTCCTGCTGTGTCATAACTAATCTGAAAGCAATGTGGTAAAACCCAGAGCTTACAGGGAAAAACTGAATAAGCACTAACAAATTCCATAAATAGGGAACAGGGATTAGCAGAAATTGCATGCATAAATCACAGACTGGCTAAAACTAGATTAAAACTGGAATGCTGCTTTAAAAATTTGTCCTGGGGTTATCATTTTTTTTCTGAGCATGAAGATGCTCCAAAGATGCTGGTGAATATAAAGTTAAAGGAATAAGTAAACTCACTCAAATTTACCACTCAAGCAAATTCTCTAGTACAGTCGTCCCTCGCCACTTCGCGCTTCGACTTTCGCGGCTTCACTCTATCGCGGTTTTTTCAAATACCTGTATATAGGGTAATACGAGTGTAATGGTGACTAAAGAGTGTTATTTCATGTCTAGAGGGCTCTATCTAGAGGGCTCTAATAGACATGAAATAACACTCTTTAGTCACCATTACACTCGTATTACCCAATATACAGGTATTTGAAAAAACCGCGATAGAGTGAAGCCGCGAAAGTCGAAGCGTGAAGTGGCGAGGGACGACTGTATATCCCACATTAAAGCATTTATAAGTTCAAACACCCCAGGCTGAAGTCAAGCACTCATTTCTGATATACACTTCCAATACACATTTTCTGGCAAGGATGTGACAATCTAATGCTTACTTAAATATATCATTTTCATCTATTCTTCATGAAGGCATAAAATTTATTTTAAATGCTATCCACAGAAAGGGCAACCACTAAGTCTTTACCTAGCAAATTCCAAGCAATTATAAATGAATCAGTAAAATCATCATTTTTCAGATTGAATCAATTCCCATCAATGCTACAGCTGCCATCAGACTAACACTCTTCATGCTAGCAAAGCCCCTGAAGATCTTGAGTGGCTCAATGTATTCCTAATTGTGAAAATTTGAAACGAGCATGGAGCCTTCAGCTTTGCACATGAAGTGCATAGGAACTTTGCAGTTAATTCGAGGGAATTTGGTCTCAAATCTCTCCTGTCACCTTTAGGGCAACACCAAGAAATGAAAATAAAAAAATTTACCTTCATTTCACAAAGTAATGTCTCACATCATTCTTCAACCTTCTTTCCACCAGAAACATACATTTCAAGCAATATCTTTCAAAAGTATTTCAATACGGTGAATCAGCTTATGCATCCTCTTCCGCATCTTGGAGATTTCAAGGGTAAGAAATTCACAAATTTTTAAACCTGCTCCAAAAAGGAATTGGAGAATTCCCAAAATGCAGACTCACTTGGGTCAGTTGGCGCGTGCTGGTCAAGACCCTGGCGAGAGGAAGACAACAGACCGGCACCGTGTCGAGAAGCGTGGGTCGACTGTGGGTCAGGAAGGGCTTCATGTAGTTAACATCAAAGTTCCCCCATAATTGAGCCATGAATGACTTTTCCACAGCTGGTGTTGGCACATGGGGTTGTTCTTCCTGTATATCACATATTCCAGGTCAACAAGCATGACTGAGTGTCATGGCTAACATGAAGGACCAAATGCACTTCACGTTCTAACAGACTTAGTTCAATTCGTGTTAATTGGCCCGATATACCCCTCATGCTGACACGTCTTTGAAAAGATGATGCAAGGGGGGCTATAGGATCAAGCAAAGGCAATGGCCTGGAAGCAAGGACGTCAAACTTCTACTTACAAAATGGGAAGGATACGTGATGAAAGGGCCTTATGACTCCACACCAGAGGAGGAAGGATGGAATGGCAATTTAAGATGAAAATCATATCAACAGATGTAGTTTACACTCACAAGTCCTCAGCCCCCACATGAAAAATGATGAATATTCTAATGCAAAATGGATGCTACAATCATGCATCAACCCATGGCTAGGATGTGGCTAAGTAATAGGAATATTTCCCATCATGGGTGACTTTTATCCANATGCATCCTCTTCCGCATCTTGGAGATTTCAAGGGTAAGAAATTCACAAATTTTTAAACCTGCTCCAAAAAGGAATTGGAGAATTCCCAAAATGCAGACTCACTTGGGTCAGTTGGCGCGTGCTGGTCAAGACCCTGGCGAGAGGAAGACAACAGACCGGCACCGTGTCGAGAAGCGTGGGTCGACTGTGGGTCAGGAAGGGCTTCATGTAGTTAACATCAAAGTTCCCCCATAATTGAGCCATGAATGACTTTTCCACAGCTGGTGTTGGCACATGGGGTTGTTCTTCCTGTATATCACATATTCCAGGTCAACAAGCATGACTGAGTGTCATGGCTAACATAAGGACCAAATACACTTCACGATCTAACAGACTCAGTTCAATTCGTGTTAATTGGCCCGATATACCCCTCATGCTGACACGTCTTTGAAAAGATGATGCAAGGGGGCTATAGGATCAAGCAAAGGTAATGGCCTGGAAGCAAGGACGTCAAACTTCTACTTACAAAATGGGAAGGGGTACGTGATGAAAGGCCCTTACGACTCCACACCAGAGGAGGAAGGATGGAATGGCAATTTAAGATGAAAATCATATCAACAGATGTAGTTTACACTCACAAACCCTCAGCCCCCACATGAAAAATGATGAATATTCTAATGCAAAATGGATGCTACAATCATGCATCAACCCATGGCTAGGATGTGGCTAAGTAATAGGAATATTTCCCATCATGGGTGACTTTTATCCACTGTAACACTCATGGGCTATGTGACCATTTTTCATACCAAGCACTACTGCACAGAAGGAGTCATTCATCTGTAACTTTGTGGACTGACTTCAAATGTCCTGACTTAGCACATGGAATACAGCAGCATGCAACAGAGATGAAGTGTAAGCCATATGAAATATACAGTCTAAACCAGGGTGACCCAAATGGTAGTCAATGAGCACTTCTGAGGCTGTTCTATCTCCACCCAGCTTACAATTGACCCATCATTTTTCACTCTGTTAACACCTTCTCAGGAGTGGGCTTTTTAGCATGTAAATATAATTGTATCACTATTACGTGATGAACAAAGCTGGATTATAGCTAAATGCTTTTACTGCACACTTGCAGTGAACAATGACAAAAACCTATGCTATACCAAAATAACCAGGCATCCCATTCTACTCTCTATGTCATATGGAATATGGCATATGGTACGGAAGAGCATTACTGTCAAGGGCATACACTTTCTGTTATAGGGTACTCAACAAGATATGACTGAAACCTGATTCTATTACAGTACATTGCCACTCTCACTGTCAACATTTTCCTGTCAATAAATCACCCCAAAGGCTTATAGTTAGGGATGCAATTAATTCAATACAGCACCACCCTAATTAAAGACCCCAAATTGGCAATGACAAACAGTGGGGTATCACAAAGGGTTGATTTTAAATAGATAAAAAATACATTCCCTGATTCATTCATGAGACTGACAGGCTGTCACCTACAACTGCATGACACAGTCACAGGGGTAAATATGACAAACCATGGCAATACATATTGAGATGGCAAACTCATTTGCAGTTTATATATGTTTTATGCTAATAGAACTCCAAAGAATGTCTAATCAAATCAAGTGTAGGTAAAAAAAAAAGAGCAAAAGACATTAAAAAGAAGTATCCTATTAATTTTGTCTTAGTGCATGGCTTCTGTGGCCATTAGGATATAAGAGATACAAACTACCAATCATGAGTGCCAAGAGTAGCTTCAGAACAAGACATGATCTCTTTGGAAGTGCATCTTGAGAGGTGGAGGGAAAGAAAACAGAAGGAAAAACGACAGCTGAATACAAGAGTTGTGGGGAGAGGCAAATGATGAGGCTGCTTGGATAGCAACATGAAATACGTGGAAACCCCTGGCTTAGTTCCGAAAGTGTTGTTATTGTATGCTGATTCAACCCTCTAGCTGAAGTCCAATCCACCCAATGATGAGATAGGATAAGACCTAGTCTAACACAGGCCTTGGGTTTGGGTGCAAGACTCAGTTATTTCAAGCCATGCCACCTGCAGTATGTCAGATGATGTCATGTTTCTGTCCACTCAGTCCAACTTAGTGTATGTCATGTTTCTGTCCACTCAGTCCAACTTAGTGTAGGGCATGCAAACTCTCATACAGTAATTTAGTGCCCAAAAATGAAAATCACTGACACGCATGACAAAAAGGGTGAACACACAGAGCCAAAGGATTGGATGGAAAGGACGAAAGCACTCCAAAGTGCTATAATTATCGTTGGAAATATATCTTGCAAAGGAGGGATCCCCATTTGTAGGGGATTTCATTTTAGTCATAATCCAAGCAAAGATTTCTCAAAGTAATAGCATTGATGATAGGTATGTCAATAAAATCAAAAGCTGGTCGATACAATTCATGACTCAACACTGACGTCAATATGCTGTAATTTGAAACTAGCTGCTCTTTCCTGGAGCAGAAACATAACATAGTTGTAATGGTATATGGTAAACGGTAAAAAAAAATATTCATTTCCAAAAAGAGAACCTGAGCAGTGCTATGAAGAAGGTATTCACTCAAACAAATCCTGAGCCCCAAGGCAGTCTGGTCCTTATTGGCTCCTGTCTCATGCATTCCCTATGACTCTGACTTATTCTTATTTTTCCTAGGAGACAAATTCGATAAAAGGGCCATTGCCTCGAATGGGATTTAGGATTCTGGGTGATTTTCTCTTCGTTAGCTGGGGGTACTCCACTGCTCAGTTTCTTATTTTGATAATACCATGGTAGTTCAATTTCTTCCATCTCCCAATTACTTAGAGTTCATCAATGTTTCCATAGAGCATATCTAGAAATACAAATTTTTGTGATGCTAACTATTTTTGCTTGGATAATGTGCTATTTATTATCAGATTTATGGTGGGGGTGACTTCCTTTCCATGAGGTTCCCCTGTCTGCACTTTGTCTATGTTGAAGTGATCCTCGATGCTACATTTGAGGATGAATGACACCTTCCTGAAAACTTTGCCATAAATCCCAGCTAATGGGATAATAGGAGTATCTATTATCGTGCCCTGACAACTCTCTCCTGTTGATTCCCTCAGGGGGAAAGTACACGTCGTTGCACGAGGTACTGGCCTCCAAGAATATTTGCTTTAAAATGCAGAATCCATATCTATACAATGAAAGACTAAATATATTTGCAAGGATATCTGTCTCCCCATTAAAGGCCTTCAAAGGCTGACTTTCCTGAACCTGACCCGATTGGGCTGATTTGAGTCTTGGTCCAGTCTGTACAGAGCTCTAAGTGACAGTACTTAAAAACCCCTTATAAGGCCCCAAGATGCCCACATTTTTTCAACCTAAACACTTTGATGTGCCAAACTCTTGTAGTGTCCAATTTGAATGCTTTAGTAATAAAAAAAAGTCAATTAACAACTGATGTGTATGGAAATTGGGACTTTGATGCTGGGAAACATTCCTCATTCTTCATGTCTTCTGAATTTCTTATGATATGAATCATTTGAATGGTATTGGACAGAACACAATAAGCCTTGAATAAGAAACCTGGAATGTTTCAAAAGTAACAGCTATTAATCATAAATATATGATGCAATCACATTCACAAGTATGGAAAGCAAGGCAGTGGTGGCTGCTGCTGCTGACATGTGGGTCCTCTAAAGTTGATAATTAAAATGCAGTAACAATCAAGTAAAAAACCAACAAAAAAAGGATCTATGCTACATGCCCTGGGCCTGCCCAGTTCTCACTAAGCAGAATGACTTAGTGTTTTTCTGAAATGGCATGCTTCAACTAATACATAAATCAATTTGTTTACCTTTAATAATTACCTAAATAATGGATGAAACTAAAAACTTTGAATATCATTGACGAATAAAATGAGCCAACAAAACACTTTTACAATCAACCTCATATACTTGTGAAATGTTACTGTGTGCTGCTGTTGAAAAACACTGAAACTACTAAAGCTCTTCCCTCAGACAATTTCCACTGTGATATATTGTAGCAGAGCCATAATCTATTGGACTGACTTTCCCATAGTTAGTATCGAATGGGTGGAAAATAGGAACATTTATCATCAAAGTTGTCTTGCATAATCGAGGACTCAGCAAAGAAGCCAACCTATCATCTGGTGCATAATGATCAAGCATGGTCCAGCTTATTAAATAATCACTTTCCAATAAATTAAGCCACCTTCCTTTGAAATGCAAAATTGATGCACTCAAAAAAACAGGCTTAGAGGCAACACCTTACACATCCTGACACTCCAATCAAGTAATGAGTCACCACACAATAGCGCAAATGCAAGCAGATCCCATGCGATCCAAAAGTGTTAGAGCACTACCCATTTTTTAGTAGAGTAACCCAAGGGAAGAATACCCAGAAAGCATGTACACCTACCATTGCATCCATGGCGTGGTATCTCTGCTGCATGGGATTACAAGGTACAGGAAGCACATCAGAAGAGGAACCCCAGGAGCAAGGGAAGTCATTGGACAAGAGAAAAGTTTATGCAATGAAGGAACATGGATGGGATGAAGACGTGGGGGCAGAGAGGAATAAAAAAGAAAAAAAGAACAAGATGAAACATGCTAAGGTGTATATCACAAAAACCAAATTATTTCACAATTAAAGCTATGGACATCTCGCATTCGTCCTAATGCATTTATTCTAGATGAAACATCAATACCATCCATCAACCAAACGCATGACCCATCTTCATAGTTACTATTACATACAATCTAAGACCTTCCAATGTCTCACATTAGTAGAAGGTATTTTCCATCACAAAGTAACCCCCTTGGAATTAAAAATTGCAAATAAATACCAGCA